GAAAAAAGCGCAAAGAGAAAAAAGCGCAAACAGAAAAAAGCGCAAAGAGAAAAAAGCGCAAACAGAAAAAAGCGCAAACGGAAAAAAGCGCAAAGAGAAAATAGCGCAAACGGAAAAAAGCGCAAACAGAAAAAAGCGCAAACGGAAAAAAGCGCAAACGGAAAAAAGCGCAAACGGAAAAAAGCGCAAACAGAAAAAAGCGCAAACGGAAAAAAGCGCAAACAGAAAAAAGCGCACACAGAAAAAAAAAACTTCGCCGATACTTTTTTGGTGGGTAGTTTGGTAAGTATGTAGGCGGGTAAGTGGGTAGGTGGGTAGTTAGGTAGGTAGGTAGGTAGGTGGGTAGGTGGGTAGTAGGTAGGTAGGTAGGTGCGTCATGATGTGAAAAAATATTAAATACAAAATTGTTATTTTGGTGCGAATGAATGTTGTTACGAGAGATATGACGAATGCATGTTTGATGACGCGGATGAAAGAGAGTGAAGTTTTGCCATAGGAACGGGTTGTTATAGTATGCAAGCTAGGTAGTTCGGACTAGGGAGAATGTGAAAGATACTTCGTGTAATGTCGATAGTTTTATGTTTATACGAGAATAGTAGTTGAATAATTATTGACCAAGAAAATAATAGGCATTGTGTAAAGTGATTATCGCCTGTATCGTGGTGATGGGAATGCAGATGGTAGTGGTACGCTTTAAATGGTAGTAGATCACGTGATCAAACACGACACTCTCACAGCAGCCCTAACAGTCATGTATAAATGTGTCATCTAGTCCATATGGTCTTTGTGGTAAATTTCTCTTTTGCACATTTTTCGTTATGTTTTTTTCTGGTTGCGCATTTTTCTGTTTCTGTTTGCGCTTTTTTCCGTTTGCGCTTTTTTCTGTGTGCGCTTTTTTCTGTGTGCGCTTTTTTCTGTTTGCGCTTTTTTCCGTTTGCGCTTTTTTCTGTGTGCGCTTTTTTCTGTTTGCGCTTTTTTTCCGTTTGCGCTTTTTTCTGTTTGCGCTTTTTTCCGTTTGCGCTTTTTTCCGTTTGCGCTTTTTTCCGTGTGCGCTTTTTTCTGTTTGCGCTTTTTTCCGTTTGCGCTTTTTTATCTTTGCGCTTTTTTCCGTTTGCGCTTTTTTCTGTTTGCGCTTTTTTCTGTGTGCGCTTTTTTCTCTTTGCGCTTTTTTCTGTTTGCGCTTTTTTCTCTTTGCGCTTTTTTCCGTGTGCGCTTTTTTCTCTTTGCGCTTTTTTCCGTTTGCGCTTTTTTCCGTTTGCGCTTTTTTCTGTGTGCGCTTTTTTCTCTTTGCGCTTTTTTCCGTTTGCGCTTTTTTCTCTTTGCGCTTTTTTCTGTGTGCGCTTTTTTCTCTTTGCGCTTTTTTCCGTGTGCGCTTATTTCCGTTGCGCTTTTTGATTTGCGCTTTTTTCCGTTGCGCTTTTTTCCGTTGCGGTTCTTTCTGGGAACCATCTAAATATAGGGATGTTTCTTTTAGACTTCTACGCCCTCCCCCCCCCCCCCCACCACTTCCAACTAAATTAAATGTATAAGAAAAAAGATAAACTTTTACCAGGGTCCGCCCCCCTTCCCCCCCCCCCCCCCCCTCAAAAAAGTCTGAAAGAAACAATGACGATACGGGCACAAGAAGTTATCTTCAACATTGCCTGTACGACCCTACCCGTATTTTAGTATGAAGCCAACTTTCGTTTTCATTACCTCGCTAACGCTTTGTTCTTGGCTTAATGGGGCAACGCATAATGTTGTTGTCGTAGATCTAGACTGTACCTACTGCGTCGTTATGTTGTGTAATATATAAGTTTATAGCTAGCATTATTAAGCGTATGCACGTATGGCATTCGCGCAGCAGGACACCTGCACCTCAATGAATAATGTAACCGGATACATAAACATTACGAAATAACGTTTCTTATTTAAAAACTGTACATAGTCATATCTCCTCAAGTAGTAGGCCTATGTCTAACTGGGGAACTCGCACAAGGCCACTCATTACTGAACAACAACTGGTTGTGACGATCGCAACCTTTGAACCCATTAAAACACACCTCCGACGCGTATTTAATTTAACTGGCCGACAACCATGTGAAATAAAATAAAAATAGGCCTATTACGTAACAGACGTGCGAAATTAAATTTTGTTACAACGATCCAAATAAAAAACGATAATTGACAGGCTTTTTATTTATTTTATTTTCAAACAAAATTCGAGCCTGTTTTTTTTTTTTTTTTAATTTAGAGGTATCATATTATATTATCACTTAACTGATACGTCTGATAGTTTGCTTTTTAAAAAAAATGTTTTTTTCTGTTTTACTATATTTTAACAATTAACAGATAGATCTAGCTAGGTCTAATTTTAATAACGAGCCGACCCGCAGCGTATCATACGCCGCTATATAGTTGTTTTATTTTCTACTTTTCAGTAATTCATAATTTGTGAATTCGACAGTACCAATGCTGCCACTGAAAATATTTGCTTTAAAACACTAACCCCCCCCCCCCCTTTCCCCTAACCCCCACCCTACACCCCCCCCCCCCCGTGAAAGCAGCCTCCTCTTAATTATTTCTTAGTTACCTCCTGTAAGTTTAAAATCGAACTAAATTATCTGCCCCTAATAGAAACCCGGCTCTACGGCTCTACGATTTGTAAACATTTAGCTTTGTAAACATTTAGCGTGACCACAGCTCACGCCAGACAATGTGGGGGTGGGGTGGGGGTGGTAGTGATAGTGATAGAGAAAGAGAGGGGACTGCGAGGAGGCGCTTGCAGCTTGTTTTCTAACGGCTCCCAGAAGAGAATTATATATATAGATTATAGATCTAGAATGTAGATGTGGTACCAGTAGGATGGGGGGGGGGGGGGGGGGGGGGGCATTGTAAATTAGGGACTTAAGCCTTAGGATATTGTATTTGTATTAGGGACTCCATGGAGTTTTCTAGTAATTAATAAAGTTAAAGTGAAGATGAATATTTAAAAAAATAATGATGAATATTCTGTAGTTTGGTTCTTCTATTGAAAAATTTAAAAAGCTGCTTTGATGTGGAATAGACCTATCTCTAAGGTCTAATAAAAATAAAACAATACAAATTTCTAAAATTACTATTTTGCAACAGCTGCTAGATCTAGCCTACAATGTGAAAACATTGTCATTCTTTAGTTACTTATATATATATATATATATATATATATATATATATATATATATATATATATATATATATATATATATATATATATATATATATATATATATATATATATATATATATATATAGGCCTATATATATATATATATATATATTTATATTTATATTTATATATATAGACCTAGTAGATTTAAAATGTAGTGAATTAAATGTTGAGAGAACTTCAATGGCATTATGTGAGTTTAGAATTTTTAAATTATTTAGTAACAAATGTATAACTGTAGGCCTAGTATAAATACTTAAATTTCAGCCTGCCCCAACAGGCAAAAAGAGGGGTTGAAATGAAAGGTGTCTGCTTTTATGTTTTGTCACTGGACTTTGACATTTATTTTGCTGCATCAGGAATTTTTAAATGATGCGTTGTGAATACTTTTAAGGTTATGCAGCCAAGTGCAAAAAAAAAATTATGAAAGGGTTAACAATTTATTGCAAAAGTATAAAGTATGTATAGATCTATGCATCACTAAACCCTTAAAACGCAGGGAATAATACATTTCTTGGTTTCAAATGGAAGTTTACGAATAGAGACCATATATATATACTTATAAAAATATATACTTATAAAATTCTGTACACCTTTTGTGACCTAACTTTTATTATGATAAAAAATTATTTTGGTAACAACAGAGAAATCAATGTTTATTAAAATTTTCAAGCATCTAATAGAAAGGATGATAAATTTTAAAAAATCAGTACGCATAGCTGTAGATATAAGAACTACAGCACATAAATAACAAGTACTTAAATACATGCTATGTGACATAAGAAACAGTAAAAGATGTGGGTTATTTGTACCAACTTTTATTTTTATTGACAAACGTTGAAGTTTGGTTTAGTTCCGTAATAAAGATTCCAGCTAATATGATGACTGAGATTTATTAACATTTAACTTTAATCAAATATAATAAAAAATCAATACGCCTCCAAAAGTAGGCATCTAAACACTCTAAAGTCTTAGGTTTAAACATCTAAACTGCATTATTGGTGAAACAAGTAAAAAGTAGGTCTACACATCACATTTGGGTCATCTGTTTCTAGTCATAGTGAAAGTGTGTGGTAGACTACTAAAATAAACTGGAAGTGCAGCTTGGATAACAGTTAAAAAAGCATTAAGTAATAAGCAGAGTCTCATCCAAGCATCTCTTTGAAGGGGCTCTGCCCCCCCCCCCCCCCCGTACGAGATGGAATTTATATAGTAAACATACACTTTTGCTAGTGTCCGCCCCCCTCCCCCCCCCCCCCCCCGGAGAAAAAAGTCTGGAAAAAACACTGGTAATAAGTAGGTACAAAAATAACTGAAGATGTAAACTTCACTTAGGCCCTAAAGGTCTTTAGCTTAAATTAAATTTGTTTAAAATTGTAGCACAATTGGGCATAATTAAATAATTAGGTTACTCACTATGACAGAGATAAAAGTAGGCTATAGAGCCTAGTATAAAACTGCTTTTTTAAATAAAAATCCATTTATTTTATAATCGTTATCCACGTTTATTGTTTAAGAACATAGAATCTATATTTTCTTAGATTCTACTTCAACGATCTTTCACCATTCTATCAGATCTTTTGCAAGTAGATCTAGTAGGCTAATAGTAGGCCTATAGCCTATACTACAATGGGCCTATGAAAGACTAAACTAAAGAATGACAAAATCAAAATGTGGGTCAAATAGCTTGCACGCCGTTAATTTGGGGTTAAACTATTGATTTTTTAAACACTGAGTGAGATTGAGGTAAAGTAAAAAATAAAATTTAACTTTTAACAATAAACAACTAAATCTAGAATCTAGATGTACTTACAACAGTAAGAGGCTTAAGACGCTTGGTTTTTGTCACGTCTTCATGTTGATGATCTAGTATATTCATTTTCTAGCCGATAGACCTAGAATCTAGATCTAGAATAGATCTGTAGTCTCTGTTTATCTGTTACGACTTGAACCGACGAACACTTCACTAACCACTAACTCAGCTGGTCCTTGTTTACAATGTGTTTCTATTTTGGGGAATTATAATAGGTCTTGTTTCCTCACGTGACTTGTATCGCTCTAAGCAATTGGTGGAACGTGGAACCAATAAAAATCTCTTTTATATTGGCTCTAATTTTTTTTACGGACTTGTGTCGATCGGTTTACAACTTTAAAAGAATAACAACAAAGAAACAAACAGCTGATCGAAAGAGCATGTGTGGATGTAGTCTCTATAAATGGTTAACATTTAAGTCGGACCTGTAGCTGACCTCTGATGATTAGGGTTCAGTTTTGGAGACGTAGTCTACAGCAGTGCTTCTGAGAGGGGGAGAAGGAGAGAAGGGGGAGGCGCATTTTAATAAACTTACATTTACTAAAGAAAAGTTTTTGTAAATCATTGTTCAGTAATCGAGTCTTACCGTTTGCATTGACATTTAACAATTTATTTTTAATTGTTTTAAAAATTGTCACTATTTGCCTAATACCTTACTTCTTATTTCAAAAAATAATATATAAACGATAACACATAATAAGGATTTATTTATAGATTCTACTCTAAATAATAAACATCTATTAAAAACGTTTACTGCACTTCCAGCAATATGTTTTACTTTATTTTAAACAAAGAGAAACAAAGTCTAGAGGTCTAGGGTCTACGATCTACTTCGAGCAGCTAGGTTGATTAAGGGGTCGTCCATAAATGACGTCACACTCGTAGGGGGGAGGGGGGGGGGTCAGTAATTTTGTGACGGTTCGTGACGAGGGAAAAGGGGGGGGGGGGGTAGATGGTGCGACGTCACACTTTTGCATTATAAAAAAGCAATTTTATAAAACGAATGTTAGTCGTTATTTCACGTTTTGGAAAACTGTTTGAATAAATTGCAAGGAATTGATTAAAATACTGTATTTTGACAGAGTTCAGACAAGCTTTTAGAAAAATATCGATATTTAAAAAAAATTCATCTTCAATTTTGAGGGGGGGGGGGGTTGTTGGCTGAGGTGTGACGTCATTTTAGGGGTGGGGGTCTGGCTTTTTGTGACGGAGGGGAAGGGGGGAGGTAAAAATCGTCAAAAAAAGCGTGACGTCATTTATGGATGACCCCTTAACACATCCAAGCATTATAGATGGATGCTAGAGCAATCGACATTCGAGCAGTAGCCTTAGAGCATTGGCAGTTATATATTTTAATATTTAAAAACTGTGTACTGAAGGGATTGCAGGGAGTAGCTATATAGGCCAAACTATATGACTACTGTGGCTTTTTATTTAGACAGTATATAGTCTTTTGTTATCCGGGACTACTATTAATAAGCGATCATAATTGGCAGCCGCAAAGAACACGTCTCAAGCGATAAAATAAGTAGTATCACTGATTGTAATTGTGTTATTTTAAGCCGCCTGATCCTACGTAAAACGAAGTATCATGTAAGCCTATGTATCACTTCCATTTTCAGAACTATACAATCGCTTATAGATCCAGTGGCGTAGGCAGGGGGGGGTCATAACCCCCCCCCATAGACCCCTCGGTATATATAAAAAGTATGAGAGGGGGGGGTGCAAATCGAAAGTTTGAGAGGGGGGGGGTGCAAATCGAAAGTTTGAGGGGGGGGGGGGGTGCAAATCGAAAGTTTGAGGGGGGGGGGGAGGTGCAAATCGAAAGTTTGTCCCCGGGTAAAAATTGGAACCCCCCCCCCCCCCTTGAGACGATCCTGGCTACGCCACTGTATAGATCTAAATACTAGTTATTTTTATACTTTTGTTACATTCTATTTATTTATTTTTAACTCCAGGCTTGTTTTAAAATTAAAATAATTTAACTGCAACACAATCGAAACGTGTAAGGCCTAGACAACTTGTACAAGATCGCTGTAAAAAAGGTGTTAACGCTTGACTTGATTATAATGTTTAAAAATGAAGATAAATGAAATAATTATGTGACATGAGGGTTAATTAAGATAATAGGTATACAGTTAATTTTTTTGTGCTCATTAAATATTTAAAAATAACAGGATCCCTCTAAACGCCCTTAAATTTGTTAAGCTTATTTCTTAGGCCTACTTGATATCTAAGCCTTAAAACAAGTGTTAACTGGCAAAGAAATTTTCAGGAATGTGCCAGTTTGCCTGCTAAAAGTGTTGTAAGATTATTAATATTTTTAATGAAGTATTTCGTAATTCATAATTTTGGTCCCATTAAGCGATATGAGCAAAATAGATATTATGAATGTGTTTTTAACTGATTAACAAATTAAGTAATTATCAGATTAATTTTCTAACTGATCGAAACGTATTCTTTTAAGTGTATACAGGTGGCGCTTGTTGTCAAAAATAAGGAAGTAAAGAAATGTGAAGTCTTCTGCTGGGAAAACTACATCGAAAATGTTTACTACTACTGGATGATAAGATATTGTTAAAACCAATACATTTAAGAAATGGGGAAAGATCATGATTTGCTGGAAGCATGCCGTACAGGAACAACAGCAACTGTTGAGAAGCTATTAGCTGCAAAATATGTTAAACGAGGATCAAAAGCCTCCATAGGCTCCGGTGGTGCTCTTTCAACTAAAATTTCACAAAGGTTGCCATGGATTTTCACTTTTATTTTTATTCATTCTGATTTCAGTTAGATACTCTGTTACTGCTACATTTACACGCAGCAGTCACACGTAACTTTTCTAACTAAAGTAAAAATAAATTAATTTAATTTAAATTAGAAATCTATCATTTGGTTAGGCAAGATATAAAATTAAAATACAAGTTGGTTGTGAAACCAAAATCTTAGGTTAGGCCTGAACTGGCCTGAACTAAATGAGTTTACTAAATAATCAGCACTAATCACTAAAAGTAGGCCTAAATGACACTTATTACTTAAAACGTAAACTTAATGCCTAATTAATTAGGGTAATAATTAAATGATGTAGGCCTAGGCCTATTTATTACTTTAAATTTATAGGCCTAATCATAACACAACACACAACAACACATATGTTACAATTTTTACATTAGCCTAGCCTATAAGTATAACTATAAGCCCAGCATTATGGATAAGATGAAGACTTGTCTTAATGTATGTATGTGTTGTGTGTGTAATGTAGATCTAGATAGTTAGGCCTATAGAATATAGATTTATGTTGTATTTTATAAGCTACTACTAGATTAGATCTACAAGGCATCTGCTAATATTTTTTAATAATTATTAATTTGTTAGCCTACATTTTATAATAGCCTATGCTCTATGGCATGCATAAGAATTTAGTTAGATTTTTATTTTAGATATAAAAATCTAAATTTCCTAGAGACAAAGTAGTAAGTAAGATAGATCTGATGATAGTGTGATCAGGCCAACGCTTCCTATAAGGCAAACTAGGCGATTGCCTAGGGCGATATCTATAAAGGGGCGCAAAAAATGTGCAATCTCAATTAGTAAAAAGTACTGTATAATATATATAATATGGGGGTGGCTGAAAATAATTGCGGGGGAGGGGGGGGGTGGGGGTGGTGGTTGGGTGGCGTTTTAATAAGTTTTGCCTAGGTTGCTAAATAACCTGGTGCCGGCACTGAGTGTTATGTGAACATAGATGTGTGCAGCATACGAATCCAATGGCCAAAATTATTATAATCTTGGATTATAATTATAACAAGGGATTATGGGACAATGATGCCTGAGTAGGCTGCTAACTCAAAACTCTGTGAGTTCGAATCTGGATCCAAGTCAATAGAATGTCACTGAGTCCACCCAGCTCTGATGGGTACCTTACTCATGTTAGGGACAGTAAATGTGCTGACCACACCTTCTCTTTATATGCTGAAGCCAAGAAACATGAACTCTATTTCATTTGCCCCAGTGGATTGCTAGGTCTAAAGATGATTCTTTATATCATAGAATGTAATGTTTATTACATGTAGATTAGTAAAATTATGAGACCTACCCTGATTGCAATGTGTTGTTTGTTCTTATGAGTATAAAATAAACTGCAGCTACATTTAATTAATTTTTTAAGGGAAACATTCAATTTAACATTAAAGTATTTGTTTTTCAAACTTTTTATTACAGCTTATTGAGTTTAAAATGTCCTAATGTCAATTGTGCTGATGGAAGTGGTGAAACCCCATTACATCTTGCTGCACTTAATGGACACAGGTAAGAAAAGCTTGAAACAATAATAAAACTTATTATTTATTTAAATAAAATTATTATTTTTTATATAGGGCCTATACTTTTTATAATATTATGTTTAAATGATGATCCATTTTGGAAACTGTTTTAATTGAAGTTGTATTGGGATTTTAAAAAATAAATTAGTTCACAATTGATTATTTTTGTATCTACATATTTTCCTGTTACTTTTAGTATTTAGATTTATAATGCAGATGTACATTAGCTTAGGTTCACTTTGCATATGTCATTTTACATTACTGGTAATAATTCTACTGTTATATGTGTATTGACTCTGAAGAGTATGGGAACCAAATAGTAATTTAAAACACTTTTCTCTAGATCTGAAATATTTGTTTAATGATTATTCTCACAATAAATATGTTAAACAGTTTTAAAAATAATTATAAATATAGTCTCTGGTTTTGATATGGAGATATAGTTGTTAGGATTTCCCATCCAGCTATGGTAGATACCTGACTTGTGTAAATTAAAGGAAGATGACTAGGCTTAGTGCTGACTGCATTACCCCTACTATGTCCTGAGGTTATATATTTTGTTATATGCCACATGAGTGGTTTTGCACTGTGAGATGATGAGTCAGTAACTTAAAAAGTTTGCATTTAAGGAATGCCTTATTCAGTTTTTTAAACATAGCTTATGAAAATATTTGTAGTTCTTTGTAGCATATATACAGTTTTTTTTGTTTTTAGTTTGTATACTCAAGTTTAATAAAAGTGGGCTAAATAACATCAAATAATTCATATTTTAAAATTATTTTTAAAGCATTTCTACTTGCAGTATATCTATGTTTTTTTAAAAAAAGTATTTTTTAACAAGCTTAACATTTAAAAAAAATTTTGAACTTGAAAGTGGGACAAAGAAAATAATTTTATTTAAAAAAATTGAAAAAGTTTTTTTTATTATTGAAACTACAAAGTAAATTTACTTGTGTTTTTTTTTTTATGCACCCCTTTCGGGAATAGTCTATCTATTAGTAATAGTATGAAGGAAGTGTTTACCAGGAAGTTTAATGCTGCATTATTCCCCCCCCCCCCCACCCCTGTACTGTCAGTCATACAACCTTATCTCTAAAGACTTTACAGTGTTCCCTATATTTTTTATTGCTGTACTTTATAAATGTTTGCTATGTACCAATCTGTTGTGCGCTTTTAAAAAGATTTTGAAGTATTTAACTTATAAGGTGTATATTAAATTTAAAGTTACACGAACAGTGTGTTACAATGTAAGACACAGAGAGAAATTGTGTTACATTTAAATATTGATACACAGGTGTCCATACTCAACATCACGCAACTGCAAACTTTTACCCCCTATTCCCTCTATTGTTACATCAAACCAGACTACCCCCACTGAACTTCATTGAAGCCGCTAATACTCTCGTCTCAGCATAATTTTGATTAAAATCAGTTCTTTAATAATTTATTAAAAAAATTTCAAAGAAATGCATAAACAAAATGAATGATGTTATATTTTCTTAACATTCCTTCCCAAATGTCGCAAATTATTATTATTGTAAGAACCCCCTCCCCCTGTGATCAGTGTCAGTTATTTAATTCACCCCCCCCCCCCCCCCCCCCCACCACCCTCCTCAGATGCCCCTCATTAATAGTTAATTAAATCACTGCTATTGAAAAAGTGGGTGATTTTCTGGTTGATTGTATTGCGTATTTGAGCAAATCACTCTGTATCACATTGTAACCATTAGTTGCAGAGAAAGTGAATCAATTGTACTAATTTGTGAAGCATCTCCTACAATTATATCACTGCAATTGAAAAAGTGGGGGGATTTTCTTAATTCAATTGTTTATAAGAGAAAAGAACGCTGTATCATATTTTAACCATTATTTGCAGAGAAATTGTATCAATTCTACTAGACTGTGAAGCGTCCCCTACAATTTTAGACACTCAGGACTGCTCTCCCTTACATTTGGCAGCATGGAATGGGCACACAGAAATATGTAACTTACTTCTCCAGTCACCTCAGGGCCAAACTTTGATTAATCTTCAGGTAAAATTCAAATATATTTAATGGAAATTCTTATACTATATCAGTTTGTTATTTATTTCAACTTTTATTTCTACTCTATGCCTTTTGAATCGTTATGGATTCTATTTATGGAGAGGTTTGAGCTTTCCTGTTTTCTTCTTAACAATCTTTTATGATGGTGAAATGACATTTTAAATTATGTATTTTTAATATTACAGACAAGGGAGGGTAATACAGCATTACATTTCACTGCACAACATGGCCATGATAACACGTCATGTTTATTACTTCAGGTAATTGCATTTTTAAATCTGTTTTCTGATTGACAAATAGATATTAATAGTGTATTTAATATGTAATGGTTATTATTTTTTTTAGACTTCTGTTTTTTAATCAAGTTCTGTAGAAATATTTTTCTTTACAGTCTCAGTATAAAATTATTTTGGCTACAAGCCAAAAGTGATTGCTACACATTAAAAAACTGTCTTTTGGTTTAGTTATAATTAAAAAAATATGATTTAGCGCTGACCATAGCCTTAATTTAATTTATCAATAACCTGTACATTTTAAAGGGCAAATACTAATGGGACACTTATCTCTGATTAGCTAAAGGAATTTTGTTGCTAATTTTGTTTTCCTTGCTTATATGTTTTATGCTAGAAATCATGCTTTATTTTATACCTTTACAGAAATGTGCTGACCCAACCATTCGCAACCTTGAAGATTTGTCACCCCTTGACCTTGCAGCACAGTACGATAGACTTGACATAGTTAAACTTCTTGTCAAATCCCACCCAGAACTGGTAGCTCAAAGGTCAGCTCAGAACACACCCCTACATCTGGCTTCACGAAATGGTCATCGTGCTGTTGTCCAGTTTTTGCTGGACTCAGGATTTCCTGTTGATGCTAGGGTATGTTAAGATTCTTTTTGGTCAGATTTTTTTTTTACTCTGGCATGGGAAAATTAAACAAACTCTGTCACCTTTGTATATTATAAGCATGAGGTGTTTCTCTAACTCCCTGTTTTATTCACATATATGATTACATAGATCTTGGTTGTTACAAGTAAGTAATAATAGTTAAGTTCCCTTCTTGAACCTGACGTCCATGGGGCAAGTGAAGTAGAGTTCACCTTTTTCTGTGATCTCTGCATATGAAGGGATAACGTGGTAAGCCATTAGGTATCTATCAGAGCTGGGTAGACTCAGGGACATTCTACTGACTTGAACCTGACTTTGAACTTGGGACTTTTGGGTTAGCAGTCAAGCATTCTACCACTAGGCAATGCTGGTTGTTACAAGGCCCATAAATAAATACCAAACAAGTTTTGTGTGTATTTAAAAACTAATGTACACTTTTTAAAAATCCATTTTTATTAGTAAGAGATATGTAATTCTCTAATGTTAATGCTTGTTTGCTTTGTTATAGAAACTAAATCCACTTAATTGAAATAAATATAATTATAATAGAAAATAGATTAAAAGAAAGCAGATATATTTTTATTTTTATTTCTAACCTCACTGTGATGATTATAAAATGTTATAACAATTTTTAAGCCACATCATACATTTAGGAATAAAATAATGGATATAAATATTATTTTTTCATAATTAATAATATATATGTATATATAAAGTAAATTAATGGATAGATTTAATTAAACATACTTCTAAAAACCACACCATTTCATTTCATTTGTTAGTTTTATACCATTTTTAGAATCCAGCATACATATTTAATCTAAACAGCTTGACTTAATAAAAATATGTATAGTTTACCATTCCTTATTTTTACCCAATGTCTACATTGTTATCTGTCAACTAATACACTGACTTAGTGTGTGTCGTATTTGGTGTTGATTCTAAGTTCACAAAGTGTGATGTGTGCTGACTAACCTGTATTCTAACAGACTGACAAAGGAACAGCCCTGCATGAGGCTGCCAACTTTTGTAAGCTGGATGTTATCAAGTTACTTTTAGAAAGAGGTAACTTAATTGCATTATCACTGTGTACCATTCTTTCATATCCAGGAGCCCCTTTTTTATTGTGACATACCTTTTCTTTTTCTGAACTCACAATGAATTTACTTAATTAAAACTTTTTTTAAGACAATGTTTGATGGTTACTTAAATTGATTTGACAATTTATGGTTACAATTCATGTAGTTGACTTCATATCTTGAAAATATGTACTTAAAGTTCTTGGGGAAAAATGTAGTTTTAAAACCAAAATGAATCTGAAGTTTTAAAAGCATTAATATAATGTTTAATATTTCCCATGGACAGGCATTGACATAACTGTGAAATCACAGACAGGATGTACTGCAGAGGACATCTTGAGATCCATACCTTCAAAAGCTGCAGAAGATGCTTATAATATCCTTAAAGGTATATTATTTCATTTAAGGTAATTTTTAGGCCAGTTTTCAGGGAAATTAAGCCCAGGTACATCTGTGACTACTGAGCTTCTGACAAGTTGGGGAAAGTAATGGTAGCTGGGTATGGTGCTGACCAAACTACCTCTTACTTAAACTAATGTCAGAGAACCAAATGAATGTCGAAAGGTTACGTTACTTTGTAAAAATATATTTTATTTAATTTCTCTACTATTGTTATATTTCTAATTACTTGAATAATACCTAGTCTTGAATCTTTTTGCTTACTAACAGCTCATATTTACCATCAACGAACCCCTGACTCTGACGGTGAAATGGGAATCGTACCTAATCAAAGCGCAGAGTTACCCTTGCCAAGCATAGCTCCGAAAACATCTCCCCCGAGCATAGCTCCAAAAACATCTCCCCCGAGCATAGCTCCGAAAACCTCTCCTCCCTCTCAAGGTCTTCCTCTTACTGTGCCAGTAGAAACCTCAGCTAATGAACAAAGAAAAACTTTCCTCCAGAAAAGGTGAGCCATCGTTTTTATTCCTCTCATTTAGTGTTGTACAATGTAGGATATTGTGTGATTTAATTTTTCACTTCATTGTTAATACTTTTAGAACTAAATAGTTTAAAGAAAGGCATAAAACTTGTTCTAGTTTTGCATTAGATTTTTGTTTTTAACACTCAAAGACACTCAAACATTTTGATCATGTTCACACAGCAAATGCGTTTTCAATTTCAAAAAGATACAAAGAATGTCTTCATTATTTGTTTTTAGTTTTTTTGCACTTATTTATTTTAAAAATTTCTGAGGCACAAATCTCTCATTTCTGTGCTTTTTATGTTGAAAGCTTATTAAACAACATATAATTAGTTTTTAGTACTTGTATAAACTAGAAGAGATTTTTATCTCTTCAATTCTCTATAGTTTTTCCAGAAATAAAAAAGTGAGAGTCAACTTTCATTCAAAATGTTAAAATAATTTTAAGATATGATTTTTGTGTAAAGGTAGATTTAGTTCTTGGTATATAATTTGTACATAATATAGTATTTTCAAGAGATTAAGCTTCTTCAAATTAAAGAAACAAGACCTTGAAAAAAGAAATGAAACAATGTACTTTTTATTACAAAAAATACAAGTTTATTCATTTTGGCAACTGTAAATCAAGTCATGAGTTCAAACTCATCCAACTTGGAGAGTAATTGTTAGTTACTTTAAAATAATTTTTTTTTCAGACGTCGAAAAATTGTTACATGGGTGTAAGAATAGCATGTTTTTATTGTTTGTTTTTTCTCACCAACTGAGAAGTGCACATTTGCATGGGAATTTTCGATAATCCTTTTAATACATTGATTCTTTACCTTTAATCCTCATTGACCTCATTTGCCATTCAGTGAAATATTTTGGTGGTTGTCCATAGATTTCACACCTAAAGGGATCAGTAATTTCACTTTTGTGGTGATGTGGGTTGGGAGGGAGTGGTAATTTGGCATTTCATTTTCCTTTAATTTATGGTGAACATACTTTTTTTGTAAAAAGAATTATTGAGTTAGTGGAACATATTATCATTTTATCAAAAGTTACTGTTTTGGAATTTTTATGATGCGCCAGAAAGGGTCGTTGGGAAAAATAAATTGGCTAATTCAAGCATTACATCATTTATTATTGTCCCTTGAACTTATTTGTCACTATAATATAATGGGCACTCCTGTACAGGTAGTCCATAGAACTCTTTTCGAAAGTGAAAAAATTGGTTGATATGTGGTAAAACATAAAAAAAAGAATCTAATAATTCGTTGGATGATTGAAATAAGTTTGATTTCACACTTGCGAATGTCCACAGTGATATGAAAGATGTCTTGATTATTACCCTCCAATACCCTTTAGTTTTTCTTGGGTTATTATCATTTGCAAGGTTGATTTTTTTTTAAAAATTTTAATTGCTACAGTTCATTATCAAATCATTTTTCAAGTTGTTAAAAGGCTTTGTCTTCTTATCTTAATGAATGGTCTTGATTATATTATGTCTTTTTCAGTGTTATACATAAATTATTCTTAACATAACCAGATCCATTGATTTATATGTGCATATGATTATGTACTCTGGGAATGTCCATATACATGACTATGCTTATTAAAAAAGCAATTAGCTCTGGCTTCATGTGCCATTATGTAAAAAAAAGGTGCAATAATGTAATAGTTTTAGGAACTATTGTAAAGTTTAAATATGTAATTAGAAACTGCATGGTTACAGTATACTTGTATCAAGTTCTGTTCATTTGAAATCTCTTTAATGTAAGTAAAACTAAAAGTACTATCATGTTAAAAAATCTTAGTAGTTGTCTTTTGTTTAATGCAGTAACTATGTTTTACATACTAGTCTTACTTGAAAGTTTTTATTAAACAAGTTAGCAAAAAATTGAATTATATTTTTTGACATTTCAATCAAAAAATTTCAAAAATGGTATGTTCAAAAGATATTAAAATATTATTTCAACAAAGGGTAGATTCGTGTGAGTTGTTCAGAAAATGAATTAAATGTTAGGTACTTGTTTCATCAGAGAATATAATTTGTGAACGCCCCAAATGAGAATTATTAGAAGGGATTTTTAAAAAGAGTGAACTATAAATTATATAATGTAAATTATATACAATTAATGTATCAAATCCTTCATTTTAAATACTACTCAACACTTTCATGATTGACATTACCTTAATTAAGCCTATATTACTACATTTACAAGTAAATTGGTTCTAAAGATCATAGGAATAAATCAATATCTAAAGAAAGAAGTTTTGAATTAATGATACTTACTGTTTCTTTGTTTTGTAAAAAAGAAAGATATTCTATCGATGTGCAATAAAATGTCAGTCATTATTTTTAAGAAATGAAATCAATTGGATTAAATCATTGACGCAATAGTATTGTGACATGTATGTAATTCACAATGATTATTCTTTTTTGCAAGTAAACAACATAATACTACGTTTGAGTATATAAAATTCTGCAGTGAAATCTTTAACAATTAGTCATTTATATATACACACACACACACACACATATATATATATATATATATATATATATATATATATATATATATATATATATATATATATATATATATATATATATATATATGTATATATGAAATGCAAGATCATGAGCAATAGATAAAACTAGGGCAAGAATGTATGTATTGAATTAGTTTGAGTTTAAAATATGTTTTACAAAAAATGCAAACTTTTTTTTCACAGTCTTCCTCCCAATGGCGACCTGTCATTGCCCCCACCAATTCCACCCAGACAGTCAGTGAGAGCAGAGAGAAGTGACAGCATTAGTGACAGCAGTGAGTAGCCCATTCATTAACCCTACCCTCCCACATTTAATCACAGTAACTCAAGTGTAGCTTTTGTTTATACAATTTGCTTTCTATTGTGTGTGGCTTACTAACATTCAGCTTTATTCAACCAATTAAAATTTTAAAAAGATATCTTTAATTTCCCCACATCAAATTATGTAAATAATACATGATATTTACCTATGGTTTTTTTTTTTAAAATATGCATTATAGTACTGATATAATTTATATTTCATTAATGGCAAGAATATACTTAATTAAATACCATATATTATTGTAAATTTAATATTATGTAATCCGAAATGAAAATTTAAAAAACCTATAATCTATTTATTAAGCTGATGTATTTGATTTATTGATACATAATACTAAAACAACATTTATGGTATTTTTTTTTCGGATGCTATTAAAATAGTAACTTAACTAAAATTAAAAATTCCAACATACATTTTTAAAAGTTATAATTGATAGAAAGTTCCATTCAAAAAGGTCTTAATTTAAAAAAAAAATATAGGTTTCATTATAATCTAAAAGAAAAGATCAAATATTTCAGTAATTTATTAGGAAACTTAGAAAAACACTCTTTGCCCAAATTGTATACTCTTTCAAAAAAAAAGTTTTCAAAGAAAACAAATTATGTTTAAAAAACAAACAGTTTCTAACAGAAAAGCTTAAAGCTAACTGCAAAAGCATGATCAAATTAGAATGTGTTTGGAACAAGCTAGAATCCCAATTTCAGGTTTGACACCTCTACGAATTAGATCAGACAGGGGAAGTGAAAAAGACCTGTCCAGTGATGAAGATAAAAATAAACTAAGCCCTAGAGATATCAGTCCTTCAGCCAGAAGCCCCTCCGTAAGTTCATATTATTATTCATTGATACATTACATTGGTTTTATTTCATAATTACCGTTGAGCGTGAAATCAAACTCTTTGCATTTAAATATTCTATCCATGTCTTAGTAGTTATACCATCTTTTTAAACATCGACACTAAACAATTCAAGTTCTTAAATCCTAAGGATTGAGCTATTAGACCAACTATAGGATTTTAGGTTCTGATAAAATGAACTGTGCAAGTTTTAAATTAGGTGACCTAAACAAGCCAACAAAAAAGCCATGAATAAATTGACTGCACAGCAGTTTTGACACAGCTTCTCATGAAGTTGATCTTTCATCAATCAAAATCTTTCGTGTGTTAATATTTTCAATCCCTGTTGCCTCTCAAGGGATACTAGAGCAGAGGCCACACTTTTTATACTTAACTTGTGGTAGATATTAATAGGATAAATAGCACCAGTAATGGACCTGTTTTTATTTATTCCTTTTGATTTCCCTAAATATTATAGGTACAAAAACCCATTTTGATAACAAATTCCATTGATAGTTTAAGCTATTTATATTTATGAGAATACTCTGTCAAGCAGCTAAATGTAGTTACTAACCTTTAAGTAGAATTAAGTTCCTGCCTCATGTGTTATATAACCCATCACCACTCCAAGTCTAATAGATCCCTGGCTAAATATTTAAAAATATATTGCTGGGCCTAACTTTGATCAACTAATCTATTCATAAAGCATACTTGAACTATTTTACATTTCAGTTTATTTATTCGGTTACATTCTTTTATGTAAATGACATTATATTTTCACAGGAACAACCAAAAAAACCTCCCAGAAAGAAGCCATTAAGTTTCCGTCGGACTGAACCAGGGCATCTTGCCTCGGCAGATGCTCCCTTGAGTACTGGAGCAAGTAATTATGTTAACCTTGATCCCGATGTTGAGAGAGCTATTATTGATGCTAAAATGTCCATTCAGTTAGAGTCTAGAAAAAACCAAGGTAGCTTTATACTGGCAAGAGTTCAAACAATTTTTGTCCAGAACACAGCATGCTCTGTTTGATCTTGTGGGAGTTAAAACTGCAGAAATGTATTTATACAGTTTTACTTTATTTCCTTTAGCTAGATAATGATTGCATCCTTTACCAGTTCCCATTTCACATTGAAGAACATTAGATGAGTATATTAGGGTTGTGGAATCAGTAAAATATGTATTAAAATTGCCCAAATGTTAGCCCTAGTTTTGACTGTTAGCAAATTATTCTGGTCCTAACCTTAACCTTCATCTTAACAACAATAGCAGTGGAAAAATAAAACTTTCTATATCAACATATCAGTTCCATAACAGCCAAAATGAATTACAAAATACTTGACTTGACACTGTAACACTGTAAGCATCAGAGTTGACATAATTTGCATGTGTATTCACTTGTACGTTGGTTTACCTGTACACATTTATACCCTAAACCCTGGCCTTATCAACAACTAAAAACGTAAGAGAAAACCTTTTTATACAGTATTGCCACACTTATTTTTCTATTAATAAAAAGGCAAAATAAAGGTGTATAATAATATTTAAGGCAAGGTGTTTCAACAATCTGTCTTAGTTTCTTGTATACAGTTCACCTTAAAGCAACAGTTTTGCTGAAATCACTTGTATGTGCATTATACTTGTTAAATGGTTCACCTGATATAATTTACAATTGAAAAAGATATATTGTAGTTTAGTAAGAAGAAGCTCCTAAAATATCTGATTCCACAGCCCTAAGAAGCTAGGCCAAAGGTTTTAATAGTGATTACTTTTTTTTTGTACAAAGCATGACATTTATATTTCCTTTCCCCATAATCAGCTCTAAGGACATAATCTTATACAGCGTGAACATTAAGAGTTTTCTCTTAACTTGGTATGGACTATCATTTGTTTATGGGCAGTCAAATGACCACGCCTTCTCATCATCTACAGTTATACCCAACTTTCCTAGTCCCCGCTTCTCCATTCAAGTAGCCAACCCCAGCAGTTCCTTCCCCTTAACCTGCATCCCAAGTGCCATGTTTTCAACTAGGTTTAATTAACACACACGTCTCTCAAGTGGTTTACTACTTGTGTTCTACTTTAATTTGTTAGAAAGTTATACATAGGTTTTTATTTGTTTAACTTAGATGTGTTTATTTTACTCTGCTAAAATGAGTTTGTAGTTAAATGCAAGTAGCAATTTTTATTTTTGTATTATTTTTAAAAAATTATTTAGATTTTCATTAAAATATAATTTCTATATTATTCAAATTATACTACTATTTTATAATAAATTTTCAAATTTACATATCGGCCTATATCAGTATTATTGCAATGCAGGAAATCTATATAAATATCTATTTATAAAAATGTGAATAAATTTGTATTGTCGGCTTCCAGGTAATTAAAATATTTTGGCTTTTACAATGAAACATGATGAGATTTTTACTAGTAACGTAAGCTAGAAACAAAAAAAATATTATGGTTACAGATTTTTGCTATGATTAGATTAATTTGAAGAATGTAGGCCTATAATATATATTTACTTTAACTGTTTTATATAGAAATATCAAGACCAATAAGTAAATAAATATTTAGTTAAAAGTTAAATTTTAAAAATATACTCTGGTTATTTAAAGGATATCAGAAAAATATTTTAAATTGAAGGTGGTTAGTAAAATCAAATCATTTCAACCAATTCATTGGTGTTTTACACTATATTTTTTGCATACTTCTTTTGTTTGAATGACTTTATTATTGTATAGATGTTCTTTTATTGCATTTGCATTTTAAAAAGTAGATAAATATTATCATACATTAATCTAAAACTTTACTTATGAATAGAAAAAAAAAGTATGGATGCTGGCAATGCTTTACCTCCTAATTAATGCTTAGATAATTAATTAAACTGAAACTTTGCTTTTTTATAGATATTGCCAACCCCCCTACCCAGCTTAATAATAGCGATAACCCAACTGTGATACCTCAAGTTGCTGAAAACAACAACGAAAAACATTCATCAGAAATGCTGAAGAGTCAAGCTGAGGCTGTGATAATAAAGGGAGATGATACAGCAGATAGTAATATAGTTTCAGAAGTAGTTATCTCCCCTGAAACTACTGATATTGATGAGAAAAAAAGTAATTGAAGTATTCTGGGGTCATATAATAATTTTAAAATAACACAGATGATAACTGTTACAAAAAGCATGCTTACATAAACTCTCTTCTCTTGAAATCTCTTTAGATTACAGTAATTTATCCTATCAACAAGTATGATCTTAGTGTAAACTTAATTCTTTGCATATTATTTGCTATAGCAAATACAAATGTTTATTTTTTCTAACATTTTAATTTTTGTATAGATAGTGCTGGAGTAGTTTTTAAATTTTTTATAAATAGTGTAGGATTGCTTTTTCAATCTTTATATGGAATTGTTGATTTTTAATTACTTTAATATAATTTTCTGTGCTGAAAAAAATTAATTATGTTATAAATATTTTTCTCCTTGGTCAACTTTTTCTTTTTTGTTTCAACTCTTTAGGTGAACAAAGCTCAAAACCCCCATCATCATTAGACATAGGGCACATTGGGGATGGGGCTGAAGCAAATCCACGGTCCCCAACACACCACCGCCAGCCCCCAACTCCAGACTGCCCACCCCCTTCACCTGGAACTGCTCTACAAAATATTCAGCGCAAGATGCAACCAATGGTACGGGACAGGTTTTTCTGCAATTAGCTCACTTCACTTTTTTCATTTTGTGATTGCTGTCTTTTTATATATCTGCCTATAAACGTTTTTTTTTTATGTTTTGACAGAAAGTTTGTATTTATTTAAGAATTTTGGTTTTATAACATGAACTAATGGAAAAAAATGTTTTAAGTAATTCACATTAATTACAGGTAGTCATACATTTTAATGTTTAGGATGAAAATATAATCACTTAACGTTAATTAAGAGTTTCTATTTCAAAATAGTTAAATTCATGTACTTTCTTGCCTTTTTAGCGCAATTTCCATTCTGGAGAATTGCGTTTATTAACTCGTCATTTCTGGGAATGGATGGATGGATGTATGAATGTGTGTCTGGGCTTTAAGTCGTATCTCCTCCTCAACGAAGCAATATCGATGACTAGTTCCAAAAGCAATTATGTTAAGCAAGTTACGAGAATGAACATAGGCCATAAAAATTCCGGGTTTCTTTCATGGATTTCCAGGAAAAGCCAAAAAACATCGAAAAAATGCAGTTGTTGGCCCATATCTCGGCAACCAGACCACTTAGCGACTTGAAACATGTACCAATCGATTCCTGCCATAATTTAGAACAATATTGCCGAAAAAAGTTTTCAATAATATCCTCTCGTTCGGTCACAAATTTTAAAATTACATAAACACCTACAAACCGATCGTTCTTCTAGCTCGAACGCACCCCAGCATTATACGTCAGAGCTATTTTTTAGATAACATAAGGAAATTGCGCATAAATGTCACTAGACTTTTTTAATTAACTTGTTTTAATATTGCACAGTAGTTACATAGTTTGAATGTAGGGGAGTTGTGGTCTCATTTTTATCAATCAAATGTGTACGTGAAGTTTAGAATGCCCCTTTTGATACAAGTCTGACCCAAATTGAAATATCTAACTGCACCATTAACATCACCTATTTATGTTTACAATTTATAATTTTGAAGTATTTGTTTAGATCTTTCTATTGATTTTTTTTTCAACAAGCAGGAAAAAAGAAAATCCCGAGACATGGAAACTATAACAGATTCAGCCATCACAGGCCCAGGAGGATCCTCCCCTTCAGACTCAACTGTGGACCTGCTCACCCCTGTCAAAGAGGAAACCACTGTGGCTGTGGTGGGCAAACCTCAGAAACAGAAACCCAAACCCTTACCCAGGAAATCCAGCTTGTCCTCAGACACAAGGGATATAATCGTTGCACACCCAGTGGCACACCATGACTCGGTGGTGGTCACGGAGTTACATCCCCTTAGACCAGAGGATTGTAACAACAGCCAGCATGATGATGGTGGTCATGTGCTGCGTAGTCATCAAGACCAGGAGGTCAGTGAAGAGGAGAGGAGAGTCCACTTAGCAGACGGGAGGTCTTCGTCGGAATCTTCGGTCATTCTGTCACTCCTGGACGACGGCACGACATGTGCGGATGTGAACGGGGAGAAGGTCCAGATGAGGAGGTCACTCAGTGCCGGAGTGGAGCCGATGGAATGGGAGGGGCATGTGTTTGCTGGTAAGTTCATTTTGTTTAACAGGACTCTTATGCCTTATTTAGAGTCATTAACATTATAGCATCTTATCAAAGCATTGTCATAACGTTGTTTGATAAAGACCACATGATAATAAAATAAAACCTTAATGGTTTTTTAGTATCCTTCACCAAACTCTTTCAGGTTCTACTTTAATCAAACTTTTGTAAGCTCATTTTTGTCCATATTTTTAAAATCTGATATTATAAAATAATGAAGCTGCCCAACAGAAGCTTAGCACTGTGGTATTTGTAGTAAATAATTTAACTATAATTTCATATGTGAGTTAAAAACATCTTGTGGTGAGTAATCAACTACACTTTGATAATATTATTGTATTGAACAGGAAGAAGTATAACACTTTTTTTTTTAAAGTACTGAAATTAATATGAATTATTGATATAGTGGGAAAATTGAAACATTATTATTATTATACAATATATCAGCATGTTAAAACTAACAAACTTAAAACATACATATGCACGGCACATATATCAAAAGAATACAGTTCTGTTAGTACTGCATGCCATAACTCTGATCCCATTTTATAACTCCACTACGATCTCCCAGTGATGAAACATCTAATGCTCCATTCTTCTCCTGCTGCTCTCAGACTATGACCCATGTAAGTCTGGTTTTATTGGTGTTAAAAGGCTGCCTCTAGTCCTACTTGTACACTTGATATTTTCTATTTCTTTCCACTCTAGGCCAGCATTTTCTTTGCTGTTTGCAAGAAAAATTGTTTTGCCTGCTTTGTCATGATTGTGTAGATAGTGTTTGTTGTTTGTTGTTCTGCATCACATCACACTGTTTGTTTGGCTTGAGAGATTGGCATGGCTGTTTATGTTTCAATCAACATTTGTCTCTGTCACTTTTTAGCTGTTGTTCCTCCCATGAAGCATACTGTAAACCTGTAAATAATCGCAATAATGATCTTTTAGATGATCTAATTCTGTTATCAAATTAACTGTAAGTGTTGAGTTGGTTTTTTTTTTCATTTCTGTATTGTAAAGTAATAACAAGTTGATACATTCAAATTTAACAGAATTAAAGTTTGTTATTTATAATTGGTAAATAATCACAACTTTTAGATAATCTTATTCTATAGCTTAAATAATTATTAGTGTTGAGTTGGTACTAATTTCTATAATTTCTGCATTGTACCCTAATTGTAAGTTGATACATCTAAAGTTTAATACAGTTTAAGTTTTTTTATTTTGGTTGTCTAAGTCTAAGCATGTTAAATAGAAATAAAGAAGAACTTGATAGTAGAAAATAAATTGACTTTCTCAGTGGGATAACATTGAGATTGAATACGCTAGTGTTAATAAACTCATAAATTGTAATATTTAGTACCCTGAAATCACTAGAAACTCCATTTAAAAAAAAACAACTGTTTTACGAGGAGATGGTCTTTAACAAGATGAACTTTACAGTTAAAATTTAAAGTGAAATTCAGTGCTTTTTTCCTGTTTATTGTCTCACGTTGTCAAAGCTTCATCTTTCACTGCTTCCTTTTTATTTGTGTTGTTATGTCAATTTATGTTTACAACTCAGCTACTTGATAAACAACAACTTTTGAGTAGACAGGTACAATAGAGTTTACCCACCTCACTGGTTTAGGGTTAGGTATAGTCATGATTCTCCTAGCCATAATTATTTTGTGATTTAAATAGTTACTAGACCTACTGAATATTAAATCAACGCCAGCATGTTTTCTTCTTTGAACTGTTAAGATATTAATTTCTGTATCAACAACGGTAGTTGTTTTAAGTAACCAGGTACTCCATTGTTTACCCACCTCACTGATATATTCATAGTTAAGTTCCCTATCAGACCTGGTGTCCCAATGGATGAAGTAGAGTTCACCTGTTTTTGTGACTTCGACATATGAAGAGATATGTGGTCAGCACTATTACCAAACCCTTTTACTGTCCCTTACATGAGTCAGTTACCCATAAGAGCTGGGTTGACCTAGTGATGTTATTTAGACTTGAACCCGATTTCAAACTCAAGACTTATGCTCTACCATCGGACCACGTCATCCCGCTGAATTAAGTAACCCAGATATAGTATAGTTAACCCACCTGACAGATATAGTCGTATTCTTACTTTTATTTTGTTAAGACTTGGAATTAGCGACATCTCACATTGTGTTTTTGTTACTCTGTCTAGCTACAGCCTGTAAGCATTCTTCTTTCTAAGGAACAAGGGTATACTTATTTTTAGAAATACATCTTAGAACAAACATTGTCTAACATAAAAACATAAAGTGTCTCCAGTCGGAATATAAACCACTTGAAATCTCCACTCAAACTGATTTCACAGTGATAGTTTTTGAACGAAGCACTGCATATAAAAATACAAGGTTTATCTAACTTTTTCTTCTTCTATCTTATTTTCATTTTTTTTTTTATTTAACATAATCAAAATGTATTAACTCAATTTTTTTTGTGATCTTAAAAAGTGGCGATGATTAAATATCTTAATTATTCAGAAAAAAATGTGTATCTCAACTGCCAAGTCGTAATTAGAAAAATTTACTAACATTTTTTGACACTTAAAACTTTGAAATGTTGTCCCTTGCTGAGAACAAATAGAAACGTTCAACACAGATCCATTGCTACAACATCATATAAACATATCCATATTATTATCCTTTATATAATTACATATCGATTCACATTCATTTCCTCATCCATATCCAATACAAAATAATATAATTCGTAATCAGATGTCCACGTGACAATCTATATCCATTATATGATCATATCCACATTCATTACATCTTAATATTTTGATCCATTATATCATATCCAGATCCATTATACATTAAATCCATGTACATTATCACGTCCATATCCATTATATAATAACGTCCATATCCATTATATAATCACGTCCATAGCCATTATATAATCACGTCCATAGCCATTATATAATCACTTCCACAACCAATATATAATCACTTCCACAACCATTATATAATCACGTCCATATCCATTATATAATCACGTCCACAACCATTATATAATCACGTCCATATCCATTATATAATCACGTCCACAACCATTATATAATCACGTCCATATCCATTATATAATCACGTCCACAACCATTATATAATCACGTCCATATCCATTACATTATCACGTCCACAACCATTATATAATCACGTCCATATCCATGATATAATCACATCCATATCCATGATATAATCACGCCCATATCCATGATATAATCACGTCCACAGCCATTATATGATCACGTGTCCAGCTCCATCACCATGATTATCAAACGTCCACGCAGTGATACCCTAACGTAATTAGCATTAACATGGGCATCGATCAATGGTGATTAGCAGCCCAAATGCATGACATCACCGCTCTATGTTGCGTAGAGTCCAGGATAGAGGTGGGGGAGGGGGGATAGGGAGAGGGGGATATTTATGCTCCTGGACATTACCCAGGTTTATGTTTCCCCATGATTTTTGGGGTTAGAATCGTGGAAATCACACCGCTGTGCTAGCCGATGAATCCGTTGTTTTGACGGTTTGGTGTGGTTGAGTTTTTCCAAGTCACACGTTTTTTTTTGTTTCTTTTCTTCTGCCGAGTTGTGATTTTCTTGAACTGTAAGTTAATGTTTGAATCTGTTTGACAGTGCTAAATATAGTTTAATGAACATCATAAATTGTACTACTATAATAACTCTACATATCTTCATATATTTTAAATGTCTCCCTAAACTAGACTGCGTTTCATAGCTTTATTAGTCACGTTCTTTTCATTTGTAAAATGGTAAGTAAAAAGTACAGATTTTAGTGATTCGCACAACATTGGACGTGTTTTGTGACTTCTTTTAGAAGGTTTTACAAGACTTCTCAACCTGCCATTTTTTTCTAAAATAAACAATTGCTCATTATTCAGTAAAGAAAGTTTCACCTCAGTTGTTTTTTTTTTAAGCAGCAACTCACATCACATCTTAGCTAAGCATCGGGATATCAGGGATGTGTTAAGAAAAACCCGAGTTATCTTTTGCGTTTACCTGTAGATTACGCTGAGGTAGAAAGGGGAGATAACTGCTTAACCCGCACGTACACAGAGATGCAGGTTCCAGTTTACCTGGTTAGTTTTTAAGACTTGTAAATTTTGGGCCATAACTGCGATGGTTGTACCAGTTGCCTTTAAATCAAAATAGTCGTCAAAACTTCATTTACACTGCGATACGCGTGTACAGCCGATTATACGATCTGCTAAATAAATATTTCCTTGCACTTCAAATAGTGTTTCTTACTGCATTGTAAAACAGGTATTAAAAATAATCCTTCATGTTTAAAAATATAAAAGAGCGTGTTATGCAGTTTAAAAAAAAAACGTTGGCTATATTTTTAAAATTGTGTCTAGAAAATAAAGCCTATTATTTGAAGTTAGAAAAATGTAAAAAAAAAGATGAAATAAAACTACGTTATTTCAAGGAACTGCGAAGCTCCTGAGAAATCTAAATCTACCGAATGTTAAGCTTCATCGAAATTCTTGACGTAACTGTGTTACACCTGGTAACAAAACCACGAGAGAGTTAAAGCCTCGAGTTGATATTCACCGTATCTAGCAACACTGAGCTGGCTCAGTTTATCACCATCAATCCTAACCTGTAGCAAACACGTCTGGTGCTTGAGATTATCTTAACTTCTCCCCTCTCCTCACTTTATATATCACCTCCCCCCTTACTCGCCTTTATTTATCACACCCGTTCCTCGTCTTTATATATATTTCCCCATCCCTTCCCCGCATGTATATATCTCACCCCTTCCCAGCCTTTATATATCACCCCCCTTCCCCGCATAAATATATTTCATCCTTCCCCGCCTTTATATAACACTCCATTCCCCGCCTTTGTATATTTCCCCCTCCCCCGCCTTTATATATCATCTCCCTTCCCCGCATGCATATATCTCACCCCTTCCACTGCCTTTTATATATCCCCC